TTTTTTTTTTTTTTTTGAGCCGAACTATTTTTAAAAAATTTTTTGAAAACCTGTTGAACCGTCCGGCCGGCGGTTCCGGACGGCCGCGGTCCGTCCGGCCGGCGGTTCCGGACGGCCGCGGTCCGTCCGGCCATGCTTTCCGGACGGTCTTTAAACCGTCCGGACGCCGGTTCCGGACGGTCTTTAAGCCGTCCGGACGCTGGTTCCGGACGGGCTTTAAGCTGTCCGGAACCGGCGGCCGGACACGTATTTTTTCATAAATTGTCTGACATGTTTAGAAAAAATGAGAAGGGCAAAATTGTCCAAGGGGGGCGGTGAGTAGTAAAAGGGGGGGCGGTGAATAGTAACACCCTTGAAAAAATGAATGTCCACATTAAATTCCGTAAACATCTAATAGCATGACTTCCGACATTATAAAAAATCATACTTCTCATCAACTTTTGAAAGTGTATTACGATTTTATTTTTCAATATATCTTGTCATGAGCTCTTTCATGATGGACTAGATGACATTTAAATGTTGACGATATTGAGCTTACTTTATAATATTTAACATTATATTAAATATGATGACTTCATTCAATTTGCTTTATATTTGGTTTAATTTTATTGTTTTTGTATCAATTAATTATTTTATTTAGTTCACCAATACAAATAATTTCTTATTACATTGATGCAATGGAGATACTGGTTTGATTCAAACTTTTGGTCTCTTAACATTAATAAGGATTAACATTACAATCATTAGTTGACATAAGTTAAAAATTATTGTCTTTCAAAGTCAAGCATTAGAGATGTTCTAAGTATCCATGTTGGAGAGTTCTCTTCCTCATGATAGGAAATTGACTTTTCATCAATCAAAGACACTGTGATCATGCAAAATGCTACAAATGAATGGTCTAAATTTTGCTTATTAGGTGCTTAGATTTTGTGTGTGTTTTGGATGTTAGGTTCTTATGATCAGTGGCCCCCTTTGTTTATGTTTATGTTTTTTAGTGTGTTGATTTGGGAGTTTGTATGTGCTAAGGTCTCAAATCTGTGTATTTGTCTTTAGTGCGATCATGTTTTTATTTGTAGGCCACCATGCGGAGTGGTTCTCTTGGTGTTGTTTGGAATTGTAAGAGCTAGTGAGCTCTCCGGTTTGTACTATGTTTTTTGAGTTGGTATGAAATGATTATTATCGTTTGAAAAAAAAAAAAAAGACAGTTCGTATCATTCCTAATTTTTTTCTAGATACATTCTAATTTTTGTCGATCCTCAAATTATTTATTTAAGAGAAAAATCCTAAATATGTGAATTATACACAAGTTTACCATGGTGTTGTAAATAAAATATACTGAAAAAAATGGGAAGGTCTTATATTTAGTGGTAGTATATGAAAAATACACCTGATTTAATATATATTTCTAGTATCGCAAGAAAATATAATAAATATGATTTGATATTATATTCATATCCTTTGATATTTTTTCGATTAAATTTCAAAAGTTTCTTTTTATTTTTATCTAATTATTAAAGGATATTTAAAGATTGACTATCTGGTAAGTTTTCTACATGCAACGCAACTCCAATTGTAGAAATCTGACATCCCGGAGAGTAGCTCTGCCTCAGCTATTAGCAAATCTATCCAATTCAGACATTGGAAGCTGAAAATAGCAGGCAAATTAAAACATTTTATATGGAAATGTATCACAGGTTCACTTCCAGTTGCAGTACATCTAAGGAAAAGAGACCTTGACATTGACACAACCTGTGCACTTTGTGGAGAAGCTGCAGAAACAACAGAACATATTCTCTTCTCCTGTCCAAGAGCAAAAAGGTTATGGGAGCATTGTCCTGTTCAATGGGATGGTCTTACAAGCTACACTGACGCTTTCAAGACATGTTGGTATAAAGTTTGCTCCCTTGATCACTCTGAAGTCGCTGAAACAAGGATACAACTCACCACTTATATGCTTTGGTGGCTTTGAAATCAAAGAACTTATGGCTTTTTCAAAAAATTGTCATCCCGGAGCAGATGCTGATTAAAATGGCACATTCAGACTGGACTTTATTCTCAACAGTAGTTTGATTTTCATTTCTTTTAGCTTTTTTTTTTTTTGTATGGTTTCTGTTTTGTGTTCTTAAGGAACACCAAGCTAGGCAAGATTGCAGTGGCAGAGTGTCTCCTTTTTTTAGGCTACTTCTGCTCGGCTATAAGTAGTTTCTTATGTATTGGCAGTTATTGAGGTTCTAGACCGCTTTATGCGAGTCTCCCACTTTTCTTTTTTAGTTTGCTCTCGGCTATATGTATTCGAACATTGTTCGCTTTGAGTTTTAATGATAGTTCTCTCTGTCATTTTGAGAAAAAAAATCCGATTTAATGTGATAAGTTTGAACATTTTATCTAATCTAATTATTTAAAGTGTATATAATGGTACATGGAAAATCTCTTTGAGAAAGTCATAAAGAAAAAATATCGCAGTTGCATTTGTACATCTCAAACTAACGTTTGGAAAATATTATAGAAATAATAAATGATCATTGAAATAGTAGAAAATAATAAAAATATTTTTTTTATTTATAATCTATATATATATATATAAAGAGATTAGTATTTCCTAAGATGGAAAATATTTTGCAGCAATGCATATTTATTTTGGAAATATATATATATATATATAGAGTTGGGATCAAGTGAGAATGGTAGATAGTGAAAGAAATAAGAATGAACCTGGACCATTGGATACATCATACCAATGGTCATGATCAAGTCAAACATTGGTCAATCATTAATGGCAGTATGGTAAATTAACATACAAATTGTGGTCAAATATATATATTTGACTAATTATTGAGGGTATTTTAGAAAATGTAAATTAATCCAACTCATTAATGTGGGACCCACCACAAACCACCAACCTAATTTATCTCTCTCTCACACATTCACACATAGTAGATCTCACCCTCACCTGCTCGAACCATACACACAGAAACACAGAATGGACGTCGGCCACTTCGAACTCAGGCGAGTCTCCCGTTGCCGACACCATATCCCGCCGCCGCCATCATCTCCGGCAGTCCAGTTGCAGCCTTCATATCCCGCAGCTGCTATCACCTCCGGTGCTCCGTCGAGATTGCTCGCCGCCGGTGATCCATTGAGATAACTCCTGGGCTTGGACGGAGGAGAACCCGTGGGTTACGGAGCCGGAACGTCGGCCACGGGGCAACCGATGGGAAATCTGTTGCGTATGTCTCGGTGCCGGCGAAGTTTCAGCAGCGATGAGATCCGCTGGAGATGGGGAGACGACAGGCGACGGCGGCGACTGCACGGAGATGGGTGCGACGGCTGGGACGCAGGCGGCGGCGGGTGAATGACGGCGGTTCGGGGACGGCGTCGGGCGGCAGACGGCGG